GGAGTGCCACTAAAATCAGCGGGTGTATTTACAATCGTGCAGATAGCAGCACCTCTCAGTGGCTCCTGTGAGACCATCGGAGCGTCACTGGAATGGACATTGCTCAGAAGCCTCGGGGAGCGTTGGTACGAAGGAAAACCTGTGCAGCATAGCTGCCACAGTTTTGACATCGCGAAATAAAACTGCAAGCTTTAAAAAATCCATTTGCTTCCTGGAGGAAGGAAATATGTGACCAAAAGTTAAAACAGTAGTTTTCGGGGGTAGGCTGCCGAGAATCGCCCGGATCTCTGTGACAAATCATAGCGAAGTAAGCTCCATGCAGCTGCCACCGCTGTGAACATGGGTACATGCACTCGTTCAAAAAAAAAACATATTGCTAAGTATCAAAGATCGCGAAAAAGTGATGGAGATGAGTTTTTAGACTGAAAAACTCATCAGTCTTCAAGAAAAGCCTCCCTGTTGTATTGCATTTATCTTTCAGTCAAACCACAATTCAAGCAGAAGCACGACGAATGAATCATCGCAGGGAATGCTTCTTACGCTCCATCTCTTTACAAGTGACGCCGCTGAAATACACAATTATTTTCTCATTAAGCGTTTTTGCATATGTGTAAATGCAAAAACGCCGACTGTGCCGAGTCACGGTGTGTGGGTGTGTGTCCGTCCGTCTGTCTGTCTGTCTGTCCAGCTATTTCAACTCGACAACCAAGCGACCTCCGGCGCTAAAATTTTGCTGGTGGGCTCAAATGCCATCCCTAGACCGTGGTGCCAGCATTTACACACGTGAAGGTTTTCACAGAAAAATCACTAACTTGGGGACCAGGAAAGCTGCGAGGCTGAAAATTTAAGGGGACGTTCCCAGATTAGTACAAATTAAAGGTTTCAATTTCAGCCCTTAAGTGCACGTGGTTCTCAAGTACGGCCCGGTAAAAATTTTTGGCGAGGAAATTCGCTGACTCGGAAATCGGAAAGTCTCGGAGGCTGATATTTTGAAACGACGTTCCCAGCCCACGTACAACTTAACAGCTTCAAATTCAGCTCCCAGGCATGCGTAGTTTTCATGTACGACCCGCGAAAATTTCTGGCGGGAAAACTGCTAAATCGTGAACAGAAAAGCTAAAAGGCTGAAATTTTGAGGGGATATCCCTGGACCAAGTACCATTTAGTAGCACAGTTAACGTCCTGAAGTTCGGGGACCAACATGCCACAAATTCTAGCTACTGAGACTCCAAGCGATCTGACCAGAGCGCGAAGTATTGCAAAAAAACATGATCGCACAGGGCCTGCCTGATGCGCGTCATCAATGATTTTACATCCGTGGTACTAGGAAAACTTGATTTGTGCATTTTTGCGAAGATAGCAAGCCATAGTTGTTAGCGAATCGTTAGTGCACTGTTTTTTTTTACAGTGTTTTGTCCATTCAATGCTTGAATGTACACTCGACGCGCAGATGCTTTTAAAACTGTTTCTAAACTATCCTTTCCATACGTCCATGACAAAGCAAGAGAGCTGAGAGTTTCAAAACCTGATAGCATTATTCTTTCTGCTTCCCCGCAAGATGCATTCCTATTCGACGGAATGCATCTTTTGCTGGCACAATTGTTTGAAGCGATAAAAAAATAGTTTTTCAGAATGTTATATAGCTCAAGAAGAGAAGCGGAATGGTGCTACCAGGAGCCCCTGAGAAAGAGTTTTTGTTTGGGGATATCTCATAAATAAAAAATTTAAAAAATCGTGCGTACAATGCAAATTATTGCAAGATACTCTGGTAATGGAAATTTTTTGGAAAAAAACGATTTATGGAAAAATTAGCATCGCGGCTCTGCCTTTATCAGCGCAACAGATTTGCAAGGCAAAATTAGAATGAGGAACGAGCTTTGGGAAAAACGCTTCCTCGCTGGCAAGCGACGCTATAGGCAAAATTTCACTTTCTAACAAAATTAATATCGCTCTCCTGCAAAAAGAACCATTTTCCAGGATACGCAGATGGAATGCAATACAAAGCACAGAGAACAGAACGGA